AAAAGGATATCTTTTTTTTTTATGATAGTCATCACACCACGGGGCGGGGGGGGGAGAAGCAGAGATACAGGCAAAGGGAGAAGCAGGCTCCATGCACCGGGAGCCCGACGTGGGATTCGATCCCGGGTCTCCAGGATCGCGCCCCGGGCCAAAGGCAGGCGCCAAACCGCTGCGCCACCCAGGGATCACGAAAGGGATATCTAAATATGAGGAAAAACATTTAGGATTACCCATCATTATCTCCATGCCATTCCCTCGCCAGTGCAGGGTCAAAAAGACGATTTCTGAAAGCGCAAGAACGTGCTCAAAGATAAACAGGCAATGGAATGATGATACCGCCAAAGATTTATAATATAATGACAACAAAAATAGCAAATTGCGATTCCTCTCCGGAAACCTACGCGACCCCGCAGGCGCCTTTAGAGCTCGAGATCCCCCCCCGCTTCTCGTGACGTTACTTCCGCTTCCTGCCGCACGCGGCCATTTCCACTCGTCCGGCGCGACTTCCCGGCCGCGGCGCGCGCGCTCCGGTTCTGACGTCGCCGGCGCTCCCTGAGGGGTGGCGGGACCGCGGAATCGCAGAGATGGTGAGTCCCTGCGCCTGGCGCCGGGGCTGGGAAGCGGGAGCCTCCGGGTTCAGGCCACGCACTAGCCTGCCGGGGCTTAGAACGGAACGTATGCTGTCTATGCACCCCCCCCCGGGGTTAGACCTCCGGCGGCCGAGAACTCCCAGCTGCCGCGCCCCGAGTGAGAGCTCGGGCAGCCGCGGGACCCCTGCTCGAGGTTCTAACTCGGGAAGCCTTAGGGCCCCAACTGCCGTGGTCGGGGGTACTTTCCGGCACTCTGTGCACATGGCCGAAAGTGTCAGGGGGTGGGGTGGAGGAGTCCTGGCCTAGCGTAGAAGGAGACCAACCCACGTGGGAGAGAGGAGAAAGTTGGATGAGAAAACTTGGTTCCGTCTTTTATTATTTTTTTTTGGGGGGGGTCGCTAGAGGATGGTGTGGAACCCTGGGTTCAGTCAATCTACCCTACCCTAACTTCCCCCTTTGTTGATGTTTGGGAGAGGGAGATTTGGATCTCCGTGGGTCTGCGCCTGTAGTGCCCGCCGCGAGTTACACGTGCCAGGGACTTAAAGGAGCCTTTGGCGTTTGTGGGCTGTGGGATATGTGGAGTGACTCCAGACCCCGGCCTGGGGTTGACGAAAGGCTTCTGCGAGGCGGTGGTCTGAGAAATCAGAGGTCCTGGAAATCGGTAGTACCACGTGCAACTTCTCTAAGCTGTTGGTGGTTTCCAGCCTTTAATCAACTCCTGTAGCTTGGTACCTAGTTTTGTTTAGTACTTACTTGGTAAGAAGGAAGAGTTTGCAAAGAGCTTCCACTTAACATAGTGAGGTTTAATCCTTCCAGCGGAGCTTGGATCCCAGCTTGGATCCCGTTGGGTTCCTCCCCGCCCCCCATCTCCTATTTTGAAGCTAGTATGTGGCTGAGCCTAGAACTTGAAGCTTCTAAACCAGCTCATCTTACACAATTCCACGAAAAGTTTTGGAGGAAGGTGGTCTCAAGTTGAACTTAAATTTCTCTCAACTGTTAAAGTGGGAATAAGATGCATGAGGATGTCGTGAGAGTTGAATTAAATGAGATAATACAGGGGTGCTTGGGTGGCTCAGTGGTTTGAGCATCCGACTCTTAATTTTTCTCTTGGGTATGATCTCAGGGCCCTGGGTTGGGCATGGCATCTGGCTCCACGCTCAGGGTGGTGTCCGCTTGGGATTCTCGTTCTTTCTCTGCCTGCCCCCCCCCCCGCGCGTGAGCCCTCTCTCTCTCTCTCTCTCTCTCTCTCCATCTCCCTCTCTCTCTCTAATAATTTTTAAAAATTTTGTTTTGATTAAATGAGATAATGCATGTTAAACACCTAATACTTGGTATGGTGTTAATGAGCACACAGTATTTATTGTTAAATCAAAACCTTGTGGGGTGTTGTTTTGTTATTTGTCTGTTTGTTGGTTTGTTTAGCTTTCTGGTGTACAGGGAGACCAAATAGATCAAGCTAGGGATGAAAATTAGCTAGTGGGATCCCTGGGTGGCTCAGCGATTTAGCGCTGCCTTCGCCCCAGGGCATGATCCTGGAGACCGATATCAAGTCCTGAATCGGGGTCCCTGCATGGAGCCTGCTTCTCCCACTGCCTATGTGTCTGCCTCTCTTTCTCTCTCTGTGTGTGTGTTGTCTCTCATAAATAAATAAATAAATAAATAAAATCTTTTAAAAAAAATTAGCTAGGAATATGATTTCATTCATTCACTCATTTAAATAACCCTTGAAAAAATTAAAGGTGGATAAATATGCACTAAGCAAATTTCAGTTACTATTCATGAGCAGATCTTTTATTATTGATTGTAATTAAAACATAAGGTGAGGCCTCTGATAACTTTTCCCGCTCCTGAAGTCTTCCCTTTTTGATATTTTGTTGAGAGTTGAGAATCCTAAATTCCAGAGATGGGTTGTTGGAACTGCATTGGAAATACCTGACCAAAGCATATTTTTAGGAGTGATTGGAAATAAAGTGTTGTTGGGTCCTTTATTGTTGATGAACATAAGATTTTGATAAGTCAAGGACATGTCTTGAAATCTCTCTGGTGGCCACCAAAAGAATAAACACTTATAACCCCAAGCTGGTAAAGGAGATAGTAGAATGAAAAAATAATAAACCCAAAGGAAGTAAAGAAAGAAAAAGAAACATCAGTTGGAACAAATAGAAGGCACAGGGACGCCCGGGTGGCTCAGTGGTTGAGCGTCTGCCTTTGGCTCAGGACTTGATTCCAGTGTCTGGGATGAAGTGCCACATCCAGCTCCTGCATGGAGCCTGCCTCTTCTCCTTCTGCCTGTGTCTCTGCCTCTCTGTGTCTCTCATGAATAAACAGAATCTTTAAACAAACAGAGGGCACAAAAGAAGGATTCGAATCTAACATATCAGTACTTTATAAATATGGAAAGTGCTCCAGTTAAGACATTAAGAAGAATGGTAAATGTACACCAAGTTAAAAGGTGTGTAGCCTCTATAAACATCAAAAAAATAGGTTTTAAGGTGAATGGCATCCATGAAGATAAACAGTGGCTAAAAAAATAAGGCATGAATAAAATAAAAGTGACATAATTACAAGAAGAAATAGACAAATATGCAATTATATAGCATTTAAATACATAAATGGTAGACAATGAAGCCCGAACATCAGTTTGAAAATAGAGGATTTGAACACTACCATTAATAAACTTGACCTGGTGGTCATAGTGAATCTAGTGAATAAAATTATGTTGGAAATCTGGGATTCCTGGGTGGCGCAGTGGTTTAGCACCTGCCTTTGGCCCAGGGCACAATCGAGTCCCACATCAGGCTCCTGGCACGGAGCCTGCTTCTCCCTCTGTCTGTGTCTCTGCCTCTCTCTGTGTGTGTCTATCATGAATAAATAAATAAAATCTTAAAGAAAAAAAAATTATGTTGGAAATCTGAAAACAGAACTAATCAATAATGAGAGTACCACACTCCAGAGTACGTAGGATACAGCTATAAAGTATTACCTGGACCTTAAAATGCTTATGTTGGAGGGAAAGGAACTATAAAAAGGTAGGAAAAGAATAAAAGGACAAAACACCAAACAAAAGCAGAAATTAATGAAATAGCAAATAGATGCAACTGTTGTAGGGTAGACAGAAGATTTTCTTTGTAAAGTCCCCTCCAGTGAGATTAATCAAGAAAATAAGCAAAAGAGGTATAAATAGGAGTAACAAACATGGAGGTATAATCTGCAGATATTAAGGGTATTATGAAGTTGGATCACTATAAATATAGAAACTGAGATGAACAGTTTCTATAAAATGTTAAAATGCCTGAAAAAAAGTATCAAAATCAATTTAAGTAGAAATAAAACTGAAGAGCAAAGAAAGTTTTTTTCATGAAAAAAACCTATATCTGGTTTTGAAAATACCTTTGAGATCACTCATGTACTATAAAAAGTTCATCACCTGTTTGAAGTATATATAGTTCAGTGGTTTTTCATATATTTACAGTTTTGCAATCACTGCTATGGAATTTAGAACATTTTTATCATCCCCCCCCACACACACAAAAACCCTTATGTCCATTAGCTAATAGATATAAAAATAAAACCTATTTAAGTTGATTTTTATCTCAGGAATGCAAAGGTGGTTTAACATTAGAAAAATTAAAGGAAAAAAGTTTTTTTCATCTGAGTCAGCACAAAAAATCTGATAAAATTCCACACCAATTTGTTTAACAAAGAAGAAATTCTTAATACAGTAGGAAATACTGAATTTTCTTAGCCTGAAATCTAGGAGCAAATCTAAAAGATATTAAGCCTTTTGGAAAAATTGTAATGGCGTATTGAACAGTCTAAGCTACATATATATATTTCAGTGATTGACAGGTTCTGCATCCTAAGGGTCTTTTTTTTTTTTAAATTTTATTTATTCATGAGAGAGAGAGGCAGAGGGAGAAGCAGGCTCCATGCAGGGAGCCCGACATGGGACTCGATCCTAGGACCCCAGGATCACGCCCTGGGCGGAAGGCGGTGCTAAACCGCCAAGCCACCTGGGCGCCCCCTAAAGGTCTTTTTTTTTTTTTTTTTTTTTTTTTTTTTTTAATGAGAGAGAGAGAGAGGCAGAAACATAGGCAGAGGAAGAAGCAGGCTCCATGCACCAGGAGCCCGACGTGAGATTCGATCCCGGGTCTCCAGGATCGCGCCCTGGGCCAAAGGCAGTCGCTAAATCGCTGCGCCACCCAGGGATCCCCCCCCTAAAGGTCTTTTACTGGAATTGAGATTATATCGATCTACAAATCAGATTATCCCAGCCGGTTTTTGTGGTCCCTGAGAAGTTGATTCTAGAATGTATGGAGAACAGCGGACCAATAATGAAGAGGCCTTTTCCCCACTTGGGGGAACTCTAGCCCTCACTGGGACCGCCGCAGTGTTTTAAGGACCAGGCGTTTTGGTGCAGTCTCTCTCGGTGTCATTTCCGCTGACGTCACCCCGGGTCACTTCCTGCTTCCCTGCCGGTGGGTCATTTCTGTGTCCTTGCGGCACCAGGCAGGAGACCACCGAGGCAGGCGCGATGGTGAGTGTTCCCACCAGGCCGTCACCCTCGGGTCTCCGCCTAGGACTGCGGTGCCGCGTGCCGCGTGCCGCGTGGTCCAGCCTCCAAAACCAGGGTTAGATCGGGCCGCCGCGGCGGACCGCTCAGTGCTCACGATGAGAACGTGGAGTGCGCCCGAATTTTATAGACAGATACGTTTATTTATAAAATGAATCATAGGGAAAACAAATGAGAAATTAATGAAAATGGTTGAACTCGAGAGGTCGGGGTGAGGAGGAAGGGTGGTGGTATAAGCAGCGCCCATCCAGTTCATTCCGTACATGGGTGATTTTGAAGCAAAGCCAGTGACGTAGCATTTTATTTATAGGTATTACAGTATCTGTGAAATTTAGGGTTTTTAGCAACTGCAATGCCATTATAATACCCCCAAATTTAATAATTCCCCGTAACATTAAATATCTAATATTAGAATCAAAGGCTTGATCAGATTTCTATCCTTTTGTTTTCCCCCCAAGACTACTTGAACATAGATGTTTTGTTCTTCAAGAGGGGTGAGGATCACATGGCATCTTGTGATATTGGTAGCTGATATCTAGATTAATTGCTTAATTAATGTGGGCTGCTGGGATGCTGAGATTTGATTGAATCATTCCATTAGATGGAATAATGATACAAGAGAAAGTTGTCATCTCTTTGTTACCTAGTGATGCATCTGTGTAGGAAAGGCGGGACAAATGTTTTACTGTTTACCAGTTTTCAGAACACTTAGTTGACTAACATAGCTTTGACTTTGGAAACATGTAGGTGTTTTATGTATTTGAAAAGTAAAATCTTAGTTTTTTTAAGCAAGCTGAATACAAAGGAACCTTAATTGTATATCAAATTGATAACCACAGGGGGAAAATTGACTTTAATAACTTGAATATAATACTCTGACTAGATGGCCTTAGATATATTCTAAGAACAAAAAAATGTTGACCTTGGTGAGCTTGTTGGTAGAGGTACCAACCATTTTGTTGGTACCAGCCATTTTGTATGTATTTTCGGGTCAGATAAATGAGAAAATGAGGTTTGGAAACCAGGATTCTTACTGAGGAGAGTGGAAGATTTGAATATTGAATGGGGAATAGAGAGAGAAAATGTGCTACATTTCTAAAAATTATACCTTAATTTTGATTGAGCAAATCTGTATGACTCAAGTGGATACCAAGCCATGAGAGCCTACTTATAATCCATTTGCTATAATATTACCAAGCAAAGGAGAGGCAAATAAAAGTATATAAGCTTTAGTGTCCATCACTGAACTAGGTAATTGCTAAAAAATTTTTAAGCTGATCATTGCCTCTGTCTCAGTTGTTAATTGAAGTGTTTTAATTAATTAATTAATTAGTTATTTAATTGAAGTGACTGATCTGAAACAAGTTCGGGTTCAGTTTGACTGATGCTTTAATGACTCTCCCACCCCCGCTCCACTTCCCACCTCACAGACTGAGGCTGATGTAAATCCGAAGGCCTACCCCCTTGCAGATGCCCACCTCACCAAGAAACTACTGGACCTTGTTCAGCAGTCATGTAACTACAAGCAGCTTCGGAAAGGAGCCAACGAAGGTAAGGCAGCCGGAGAGTGCGTCAGGTAGAGTGATAAAGGCACGGTCTCTGGCTTCAACTTCCCATTTGGAAAGCAGGCTAGATACTCTGGATTGGAACCTGTGGAAGGATGTAGGAGCAGCATTTTGGCAGCAGATGCTAACAGGTTAATGGACTAAGAATTAGTTTAGATCCACCAGTTGATAACATTTTGCAGCATTTACCTTCTAATGAAAATGAGAGTCAGGATTTGAACTTGGGCCCTGTGGCTGCAGAGTCTGTGCTGTCATCCTTACTCCAGCGTTAACAAGAATGTGGTCAGTGGACTACCACTGGGCCACAGAGGTGAACAGTCAGGAGTAAGTGTTTCAACAGTGCTGTGGGGTGCTGATTTTCCTTGGTGAGTTGGGTAGGATGTGAGCTTTCCAGAAGTGTTGCTCATGACAAATTGGGGTGGGTCGAACCCTGATCCTTCCATGATCACAGAGTTTGAGAAGTGCTCTACTGCAGAGCTTCGTGCTGGCAGAGCATATGTGAAAGCTGTTCCTGTCGACTGGGCAAGAGGTGGTGGTGACTTGGACAAGTGGTAGCAGAGGAAAGGAAAGAAGTGGTCTGTTTCAGGATGTGTTTTGACAGAACTGGTGGGTTTGATGTAGGGTTTGAGAAAGGCATGGAGGAGGGCTGACGATTGAATCCGTTGTCACTTCCCAAGGCCACTGTAGGACACAGAAAATGCTTGTATCTGAGGAGTTTTGCCCAGTTTTCTTGCACCTGTGTTTCTTTCCCTTGGAAATTGCTTTGTTGTAGCTTCCATGCCCAAACTGCCCCATCACTTACTGGCTTCCTGTGCTTCTCTCCTCAGCCACCAAAACCCTCAACAGAGGCATCTCTGAGTTCATTGTGATGGCTGCAGACGCTGAGCCCCTGGAAATCATCCTGCACCTTCCACTGCTGTGTGAAGATAAGAACGTGCCCTACGTGTTTGTGCGCTCCAAGCAGGCCCTCGGGCGGGCCTGTGGGGTGTCCAGGCCTGTCATTGCCTGTTCTGTCACCATCAAAGAAGGCTCGCAGCTGAAGCAGCAGATCCAGTCCATTCAGCAGTCCATCGAAAGGCTCTTAGTGTAAACCACTGGCCTCTGTCCCACTCCTCACTGAGTCCAGTCCTCCCCCTGGGGTTGTGTATCATATCGTCTGTTCGCATGTAGTTTCTCCAGCTACCTTCTCTTGTTATATTCTAGTACTAAATCCGGGTTTTGCATTTTTGTATTATTTTTGTTTTACAGGTTGTTCTCTGTATATTAATCCCCCACCCCACCTCTGTCTCCCATTCTACTCTCTACCATCCTTTCCTCCCTTTTGAAAAATGAACTAATGCCGAGAACAGGCAGAAACAGAGTGGTGACACCATTCAGATGCAGGGAAGAGCCTCGTTAGAGATCTGGTTTGAGCTCACTTCCTGTTGCGTGTAGGACATGGTGGATGTAAACACCATTCACTTTGTATCCTTTGTGCCTGGAGTGCAGAATCATTCCATATGTGTTTGTTCTCTAGGGGATTATGGGTCATTAGGGGAGAAAGCATGTATTCTTTGAGGTTGTTAGATGTGTGTCCAAGTGTCATTTGCCAATATGCTCCTGCTGTTTGCTTTGGTAATGTGATGTTCCCCTTTCCCCCAAATTCCAACCATGCCCCTGAGGGTGGCAGGGCAGCAGCATACCAAAGAGATGTGCTGCAAAATTCCAGAGGCTACCTGGGTGAGTTAGACATGGGGCAGCTGATGTAAGGAGTTGAGAAGTGGCTAGGAAAAAAAAGAGGGTCCACTGACGCTGGAATGAAGTCTGAGCAAGTCACAGAGCCCTGACTGGAAGCTACAGCAGAGACATTGGAATCAAGGAAACATCCTCTCTGGTGAATGGAGTTGTCTTCAATGGACACTTGGTACCAGCTCTGAGAGCCCTTAATGCCTGTTTCCTGCCAGAATGTGGGTCAGATGTATGTATTCTTTATCACATCAGAAGGACAGTGCTAGTGTGTCATTCTTGTGAGCATCCTAATAAAGAAATATATTCATATTCCAATTTAAAGAAAGTGTGATTCTTGATACATATCCAGCTAAAAACTGAATGAAGAATTGCTTAGCATTATTAGAATGGCTGTAGCTTCTCAATCTTTTTACCCAGGTGTGGAAAAGCCATTACCTCAGGTGATTTCTAGTTGCTCAGAGTGTCTTATACAGACACGATCATTGAGATGCTCTCGCGCTACAAAGGGTTCCTCAGCCACAGCACTACAGATATGGCTTTGGGCTGGATAATCCTTTACCATAGGGGGCTGCCCTGCACGCTGTAGAATGTTTAGCAGCCTCTCTGGCCTTTACCCATTAGATGTTGGTAGCAATCTCTCACCCCTGACATTGCCAGATGTTCCTGGTGGTGAAGTCACCCCTAGTTGAGAACTTACAGAACTAGGGCTCCCAGTAGCCTTTGGCATGTGCTAGAGAGTTGGGGGTGAGGGGAAGTGATGACTGAAGCCACTGCCACCTCATCTGCCTCTTCTGTTAGGGTAAGCACTGTGAGATACTTGTACCTCAGCAAGGGAGGTTTTCTTGTGAAGTAAAGAGAACTGGATACCATAATCGGCAGATGAGTGAGGATTTTACTTAGTCCTTTTGCCAGCTTGGGAGCATATGCAGGAAACCACCCTGTCTTGCTAATGCCTGTTCTGTGCCTCCTGGGCTAGTCATTGTCCCAGGTCATGCCAGTGTTTATAAATACCCCAAGCAGTTTTATATTTGTGGGTGGTAGAGTTTGAGGTGCTTAAGATTTTGTTTATTCATGAGAGAGGCAGAGACCCAGGCAGAGGGAAAAGCAGGCTCCATGCACAGAGCCCTATGTGGGACTCGATCTCAGGACCCCAGGATCACGACCTGAGCCAAAGGCAGACGCTCAAACACTGAGCCCCCCAGGTGTCCCTATAATAATACTTTTAAAAGACAAATAATTTGGGAGGTGCACGAAGATCAAGAATTCCGATCTCCACCTTGTTGGAAATGGCCATCTCCACTAGAGCCCTAAGGAGTGGGTTGGGGCAGGGACTCCTGGGATCTTCATCCCTAAGGCCCAGTTTACTCTGGAGTGTTAGTCCAGTTGCGACAGCTACACTGAGCCTTCAAAGGGCTGGGTGTCCATCTATCATCCTCTGAAAAAACTGGCTCTTGTCTTTTGCCCCTACTCCTAGTGGCCTTCTGCCTCTCCACTATGTCCTGTCTTGGCTCAGTGTTTCACATTTGGTTTCTCGGACATTGCAAACCTACTTTCTTCTGGTATCTGGTGTTCCTCTATTGCTCCGGTGGCTTTCTCCTCATGTTCGTCTTAATTCAAGCATCCCTCTATAGGGCCTGAGGTACAAACCACCTTATCTCACCTCTTTCCCCTAGTGCTGTGACATTTGATTTTTAACTTGTCCTTAACTGATATCAGAGGTGATTTTCCAATTATTGCCCTCAGAGAGCAGGAATTTATGTGATGCCCTAGCACCTGTGGCAGTGCCCTAACACTGCTGCAGAAGTGTGGAATGAGTAATTCCTAAAGCCTAGAAACATGTAGGCAAGAGGGACACTTAGTAATTTCCAACTAGCCATTTATGAAGGTGGTTACCGAATTTTGCATATAAACATTCAGGAGAGAATCCAATAGCTTTCATCGGGTTTGAAAGGGCCCTCTGATCTCAAACAAACACTGGTTAAGAACTTGTTTTATTTTTTTAAGATTTTATTTATTCATGAGAGACAGAGAGAGAGAGAAGCAGAGACACGGAGGGAGAAGCAGGCTCCATGCAGGGTGCCGATGTGGGATTCGATCCTGGGTCTCCAGGATCACTCCCTGGGCCGAAGGTGGCACTAAACCGCTGAGTCACCTGGGCTGCCCAGAACTTCTGTTTTAGAATCTAAAGTTTGCTGAAATGACCCATGATTAGAGGATGTTTTTACACTTAAAATAATGATCTTGCTAAAGGTCTTTTGTAGTATGTTAAGTACTGAACAATGCATTTTCATTATCTTTAATCCCAAACTGTGATAGGGAAGGAAGAGGAGCTTGTTCTAGACACTTAGTATCACCCCACTTCCCTCTCAGTGTCAGCTAAGTTACATTTTGAAAAATCAGGCATGTGTCTCTGGCTTTGGCAGACATTTCTGCTCACAGGAGGAAGCCAGGGGTGGGTGGGTATTATTGCTTGTTCTTTTCTGAAGGAAGAAAAAGAAAGCAAGTCAGTATTTTCCATGATGTGCTACAGCAGCCAGCCTCCAAGATGGCCCCCAGGGAACCTGACCTGGAATTCATGCCCTGTGCAGTCACAGCCCTCACCAACTCGGAACCAGACTGCATGACCAACATGGCGCAAAGATGTGTGACTTCCAAGGCTCCGTAAGACATTATATCTTCTGCCTTCATGTCTTTGGATCACTGGCTATGAGGGAAGTCACAGCTGTGTTATGAAGTCCTTTAGGCAACCTGTGAAGAGGTCCGAAGGTGTCTACCCAACAGCTAACGCTAACTGCCAGCCATGGCAATGAGCCTCTGTCTCATCTGTACTCACAGGATCTTAATTTACAGAGAGGACTGTAATAAATTCAAGGAGAGGAGAGGTTGATGCCATTGGAAGAATTTACTACTCACATTTTCCAAGAAGAAGGAGAGGCATGTGTCACCACACAGGGCCACAGGGGAAGCACCCTGTGCAAGGATTTGGCCAGGAGGTAGAGCAAGAGCAAGGGGAAAGTTTAGGGCACAGCTGGTATCGGAGTTTCTGTGGCAAAGGCAAGGCAGGGCAGAGGTGGCCAGTCAACAATTCCAGTGGGCTTTGGGCTATGAGTGGTTTCCAGTTGCCGTGTTGCTGGCCTTGGGATGATTTAGGGCAGCGGCAAGATTGGTAAGCTGTTTGGCTCGCATGAGAGAGGCATGCTGGCAAGTAGGTTAACTATGTTCAGGAACTAGCTAGCCCTGCGAGGGGCAGTCTCTCCCCAGGCCTATAAGCACCCCTCATCCCAAATGTCAAAACAAGATAGAGAAAATTAAAAACAAGATTAATCAGCCTTCTTGTAAGTGGATCCTCCAGCCTCAGTCAAGCTTTCAGATGACTGCAGGCCTGGCCAACATCTTGAATACAACTTCATGACTGACTTCAAGCCAGCCTATCCACTCCCAAGCTCCCAAGCTCACAGAAACTGAGAGACAATAAGTGTTCGTTGTTTTTAAGCCGACAGTTTTGGGCTGATTTGTTACATAGCAACAGACAATAAGGTTGTGGGGATTGGTGACATCGAGGGCGTGAGGCTCTCAGGTCAACACAGCAATAAATATGGACATGTTAAAACTAGGGTCATGACAACACTGGAGGTGCTGGCAGGGCCCAAAAGGGAAGTGTTCCCAGCTGCTTCCAAGTGGCCAGAAGTGTATCCCATGTGGGACTGGCCTTCATACTGATGCAGTCAGTTACAATAAAGATTATTACACATTCAGGGACAGTTCGGGCACAAACCAGAAAGGCTGGATAGTCATCCAGCTAAATATAGCAGGTGTGTGTTTTCCCCCATATGGATTTGAGGTTGGAATTTCTAGATGAGGGAGACGAAGTGGATGGTTAATCTCTCTCAGAGGTCGTGGTCATCCTACTTTGCTTTTCTTTCTTTCTTTTTTCTTTCTTTCTTTCCATATATATATATATATATATATATATATTTTTTTTATTCATGAGAGACACAGAAATAGGGACATAGGCAGAAGAAGAAGCAGGCTCCACACAGGGAGCCCTATGTGGGACTCGATCCCAGGACCCCGGGGTCATGACCTGAGCCAAAGGCAGAGACTCAACCACTGAGCCATCCAGGTGCCCCTTCTTCTAATATTTTAATAAGACTTTAAAACAAGACATATCAGGGCAGCCCCAGTGGTGCAGTTTGGCACCGCCTGCAGCCCAGGGCGTGATCTTGGAGACCCCGGATCGAGTCCCACGTCAGGCTCTCTGTATGGTGCCTGCTTCTCCCTCTGCCTGTGTCTCTGCCTCTCTCCCTCTCTCTCTATGAATAAATATTTTAAAAAAATAAAAAAATAAAACAAGACATAACCAGGTGTTTCCTCTGCATTTGGCCTGGAGGTATACATCCATATGCGAATGTGTTTGCTTGGTGCTCCCCAGCTGCAGCCAGCTGCTGCTCCACCTGCCCAGGGGGCCGCTCCGCAAGGACTCTCCCCCTCCTTCCTGCTGGCGGCACGCATATGCCAGTTCACTGCCCCCTCCCAAGCCACCCCCCGCCACTCCCCCAGCAGACTGAAGCCTGTTTGCAGCCAGAGGGGTTAGCAGGCTCAGAGCTGCTACCTACCTCCTCAGCACCGTGTTACATATTTTCTCATTTTCACCATTCCACGTTATCACTCTTGTTATAAATATGAGAAAACTGTGGCTTGAAAGGCTAGGTAAATTGCTCAAGATGTACATTTACTAAATTTGACTTAAGAGTTTACAAAAGCCCAACCAAATTACGTTTGGACATGTTTCTTCCCTCCTGGAGGATCAACAAGCAGAGAAGGCAAGTGTCATTAATTCACAGAGATCGTAGAACTGCTACGTATCACAGATATCAGATGGTTATTTTTTTTTTTTTAGTGGTTATTTTTCTAACATCATTCACACTACCTTGAGCTCTTTCATTCTCTTCACTTTGTAAAGATGACCCAGGAAAAGGAGCGTGGACTTGGGTAAAGTCCCTCAGGAGTGCATAGAAAAGCCTGGAACTCACTGGCCAGGAAATCCAGGGTTTAAAACAAAGGCCTAGTAGTGGTACTCATTCTTACTCTCCTACTTGTGACTAGCCTGATTCGCATCTATCTTTGTAGTATTAGTAATATCCTCTAGAGCCTAGGGTTTCCAAGCATGCTGCATTTAAGAGGGATGGTCTAATTTCTCAACAAGAATGAGCACTTACTGTATTAAATGGCTTTGCATTATCTTCCTGTAGCCTCAAAAGCATCTAAGTGGATAATTAATTTCCCTCTCCCCCAGAGAAGGAAATAAAGTCAAACAAGAACATAGC